AAATAAATGCAAAAGAAAGTGGAATTTGGATCGATTTTATTTCGTTAATAATTTCATTTTAATATTGTCTGCAATCAAACCAGAGCTGTAAGTTTTAATTTTTAAATTTAGAGAAAAAAGGTAAGATAACAGCATAAGAATTTGTTTGGGAGCTAGCCGTCGGTTTAATAATTTGCGTTAGTAAAAATTCGTCAGTGCAGTAGAAAGTTAATTTTTTATTTTGTACGAGCGAGGATTATCAACCCCTGTACTGTAACAAATTGTTACAAAGTTCATTTTTAGGAGTCAAGGCCTACCCTTCAATTTTGAAAGACACTTCAAATGACTTGCTTTGGATAGAGAGTTTTTATACATCATTTGTTTTTGGAGATCATAAAAAATCCAGGTCCGTATTTAAAAAAATAGAGTTGATGTTAAAGCCGAAACATCGCATCGGAAAAGTACGTTAAGAAAGTGCTCTTGGTTTTTCCAATTAATCCAATAATAAAGTCGTAGACAAATAAAAACGAAAATTGATTTTCTGGTAAATCTCCGGAAGTAAAATAATTGTCTCTTTTTAACAAATTATTCAGCATTAAATTGCCTCTATTTAACCAACTCTCTATCCTCCATATCTCACGGTTACTAAGATAACAATGTATCTTAATTGTAACGTCCTGTATATTGATTTTATTTTTATATTCTATGTAACATTCCATATACCTCCCGTGAATAATCTCATATACCTATTGAGCCGTTTTGGCATTGTAATATTTGATTCGGGTTGGTTTCCTTTTTGAAGTGTATTGATATTGTGCTGATAAATAAGGGAGTTCAAAAATTAACATTAGAAATTGAATTGAAAAAATCGTTTAAACTATTTTAATTTAATTCAACCCCCCTTTTTTAAAACTCTAACTCTTATTAACCACGAATAATGAGGAATTCTGCCTTGACTTTGTATAAAGTAGTGTTTTATTGTTTATGTGAAAGGACTATTACGAATGATTTGTGGTTAATTTAATTAAATCATCATAACCAACAATTAAAAAGGAGTCCGCGTACCGACATTTTCCTTTAATTTTTGTTTGTTGATGAACATTTAATTTGTTTTGGCTAGATTTAATTTAAGCCATGTTAGGCTTTTAAATTTTTGGAATTGTCACGTGTGTTTATGAACCCAGTAATTTTTGAGTCTTTTATAAACTTGGGCGAGCCGAGTGGTTATTTGTAATATAAACATTTTCAAAAAAAACATGGCCAGTGTAAAAGTCAATTTTTAATATTTTTTTAAATACATTTTAAAGATAAAGTGATCCGTTTATTGTACCTGGCAATCAATGACAAAATTTAACAAACATCTTCGAGCAAAAATATGAGATCACGAGTAAAAAAAACATCTTAAAACCGTACGTAATAGAATAGGTGTTGTTCACCACTTTGTGATATAACTCAAAACTACAGCCTAAGAGAAAGCGCACGCATTTTTTCCTGAAGTAATAATAACTCGCATGTCTAATATAAGTTTCGTTTGTTTCAGGTAATTAATCATCAGAATATATTCGTCAACGATTCAATGAACGGTAAGCAAATATCGTTCGTTATGCTTTAGTTTTTTTATGTATGGAAAACAGGAAAACTTGTTATACTTTCAAATCATACTTCAGACATTTTTTTTATTACGGAGATTTAAGTAATTCCTTTTGTGTAATTTCCAAAGGTATGTTTGAATAATATACATTTTTTGCATATTATTCACAAAACTTAATTCTAATTGTTTTTATGTGAGAATTTTGGTAGTATGTGCTGTTGCGCCATCTTGTTGGAATTCGCGATCCTGATCTTGATTTAAAATGTATCTAATGTTGTCGTCACCAAATTCTGCTGAAATAAAATTAATTTACAGTAATTTTAATTACTGGCCAAGGATCATGCAATTTTGATGATGACTAAACGAGCATGTTTCTAACGATACATCCAGAGCACGATCTGATTTAATAGAAAATATGTTGAATACATTAGCAAATGGAAGACTGGTGAACTCATGTTGAAACAAGACAAAAAGGTTGAGTTTATCTTATTCTAACGTGTTAACTTTACAACAAAATTAAACGATTTTATTTATTTATATGTATTGATTTAACAACAGTGTTTTGGTACTTACTCCGATTAGATTCGATTTCATGCTGGTACTCTCTCTGTATGTAAACTTACCTTGGTTGCTCTACCCTGTATATAGGGTGTTAATCTCGGTGTTAATACTAAGCTGTTACACCCGAAACTGGCAGTTAGAACCATAGTGTAAGTAATTAAAACACTTCTTAGTTCCAATTTTTGATTTGGTGCTCCGGTTCGAAGTTGTTGGCGCTCTTTTGTTTTTCGAAAACTCCCTTATTTTAAGGACTATTGAAAAAAACATAAAAATTTTACTATTATTTTTATTTTTCCAAAGAACAAAATAGCGATCGATCGAAAATTTAAAAAAGAACATTTTTTGATAACCACCCCATCGATTTTTGAAAGTAAAACATTTATAAAATCCCTACACTATCTATAACTACAACTGCGTTGAGTCATTGATTTGGCGGAATCCAAGTTTATCAAAGAGATGTTTTGCTTTTTCAGATACAGGGTGTTTTATTTAGAAATCGAAAAGTAAATCAATTTCCGGCTCGGAAGTGACAAATATTTACATAAAAGTCACAAAAATGAAAAATTACTGGCGAGGAAATATTGAATGGGGCCGACTTTAATTTCCGAGTCAGGTAATGCCATTTTACTGACGAGTTTTATATTAAATTTTACCCGAAATCGTATTTTAATATAAAATTTCAATTTTCATATAGAACTTTTGATTCATGTCAAACTGTCAGTGATGACGGTGGTCATTATAGACATTTGGCAATGTCACAATTGCGGCCAGTAAAGTGACAAGCGGCAGGAAACGTAGTCTGATCTGCCTCTGTCATGGAAAGTAAAATTTCCTGACAGAAAGCTCGTGTGGTGCAGTTCAGTTAAAGCTGGAATGTGGTGCTAAGGGTCCCTGGTTCGAATCCGGGTTCGGGCATGGATATTTGTAAACGTATGGTGGATTGGTTTGGCCTTGGCTGAAACCCCGCCCACTCCAAAATAAAGGCAAAATAAAATTTAAAAAATAAAATAAATAAAGTAGGCATGAAAATGAAGGTTTCAGGACGATTTTGGGTAAAAGCAATTAAACTTACAAACAAAAAAAATCGTACCTGTATTGATGTAAACAAAAGCAAATTTGATCCCTTTGTTTTTTTCAATTCGATGCACGGTTTTCGCTTAAAAAAATAAAAACCGTTTCTCTGCATGATCATGACAATATCATGCAGATAAAAGATTTTCTTTTTAAAATCGTGCGACGAATTGAAAAAATCAAGCGATTAAATCTGCTCATGCTTCGTACTTCGAATTTTGAAACTTTTTCAATACTTATCATTGTAGTAGGCTGCGCCTGTTACAATTATTAATTCTGTTGACGAGTTTTTATTTTTTTAAGCGAAAACCGTGCACCGGATTGAAAAAAGCAAAGGGATCAAATTTACTTAGAAATGATTGGGGGTTTCAAGAATAATTTTTATTTTCAGAGAAATCAGTGGCGTACCATCATTGTCTGTATGTGAAATTCCGTACGAACGCCACTCATTAAAATATCTAAAGTGGTATTACAGATATTAATAAAAAACGAGATAATAAATGATTTATTTTGAAAACTACCACCGTGTATCTCAAAAGTTAATACGTTTAGGACATAGGTTCATATGAAGTTTTCTTTTTAAAATGGACCCCCTTAAATATTGACATTCAATTATGAAACACCCTGTATATGTAGGCATCTCGAATAAAAGTAAAACTAATGCCTAATAAAAAATATGTTTTAAAAGCTATGCTGTTATCGTGGGTCAGAATCGGCCGCTGAAGGTGTGTTGTAAAAAGATCGATGCGTGAAGATCTCGAGTATCGGTCGGTATTCAGTTGTATCGTATTTTTGTCTCATTAGTACTCTTCCCAAAGACCAAGAGATTTTTCTATACCAACTTTGGCTGAGGTGAAAACGACATCCTGGATCTTTATCAATACTTATTGTGCTGCTAAATGTATTGGCTTTTCAAATCATAAAAATTTGAGATGTAGAAAACAGACCGACGGGACGGAATTGAAAATTTAGGGATATTAGAGGGTAATTAGAGAGCTGGAGACGCAACAGGCATCTGCTCGGCCAATTACGTATTTAATGAATCCAATTTAATAGCCTCCAAAAAAAATATCGGCAAATTTCCGCTTTTCTTCTTCGGAATTTTCTGATTTTCTTTAATCAATCATAACCCTTTAATTGCGCATGTTTTTTTCTAATTTGATCATCGGCATATCTTCTGTGGTTTCGAATATCCCTATACATCCTTATCTTGGACACAGTGTAAAAAAAAAAAAAAATTTACAACCGAAGATGGGATTTTTGGCATAAACCCAGGACCATTTGGTTCCAAAATTTAGTTTTCTCCACAACCACAAATGTCCTAAGATTTGGGAATAGAGAGAATAGGGAGTATTTTCAACAAATTACATAGGGTGTCCAACGTCCATGTCCCGATATGAAGAGAGTCTCTTATTTTTAAAAATATCGAAGAAACACATGCAATAGAAATCATTAATTATACTTACCTACTTGAATGTTATGCTTTTTATGTGATGGTTTTGTCCGTTTGTTCCTCGCCTAACTCGAGAACGAAAAGAGTTGACGATTTCTACGAGTTGAAGGATCAGTGCTATTGAATATGAGCCGGATTAAAAGTCTGGTTTCCGAATGAGAGCCGATTGCCACAAAAATCCCCTACTGAAAATCGTATGCGATTCTTCGCATCTCGTTTTATATTGCCGGACTAGTGAATTACCGGCGCAATCTACCCATACCTCTTTTCTCTTTATTGCTTTTCCAACGTGCATTGTTTAATTTGTGCAAAAATTACACCTAAATCGTCCAAAGGAAAGCGGACTCTATTACAGTTGATATAATTTATTGTCCAAATATCAGATCTAAAATTCATTTCTCTATATTGTCCACCTCAGCAATAATGCAAGCAAGAATATCCTGATTGCGGTTATTAAAAATGACGCTTTTGGAAGTGATCATACCAAACGGCAAAGACTTGACGCCCATCTTTTCAGAGTCAAATTTAAAGTTCTTCAGCTGATAAAATCCCTGCAACGGAAAAGTCGTTAACAGCTCACTTATGCGGTATCTCTACCTTTGGTATTGGACACTTCTTGACCGGAATGTTTGCTTGGCGACAAGCGTCGTACCAAGGCTCTCCGAGATACTTATTCGCAGAGTCGCAGAGATAATTTTCTTTGGCTCTTAAAATGGGCATGCTACGGCCTACAAGAACGTAATCGAATTGCATGGTTACCTATATGGAATTCAAAGATGAGAATGAAAGGGAGGAGAAGATTCACTTACGCCGATAGTGGAATCCATGTCCACGGGCCAGGTGCAGTTGACGTCAAAATATTGAGCATCTGGTCGATTGTATGTTCTCACCGACAGTTTGAAGGGGTAATTAAATTTTGGATCGCAATTCTCGATTTTCTTTACTACCAGTCTGGTATTCTATTCATTTCGGTGGCGTTATTTGCATATACATAATTAAACGGCGTACTTACGCTTTCCTTACATAATAGTATAATTGCGAAAATTTGAGAAATACCCGCAATATCCATTCTTAACCTCAATTTAAATAAAACACAAACTTATCGAGCACGAGATTCGAACATTAATGAAAACTCGAATTTAGTATACAATAGAAATTCGCAATCTGAGTTTGAGATCAAAAAGCAAATAAATAACAGGATGCAACTTGGAGCAATCCAGATCTATTAATTTAACATCAGTCATTCCATTTTATTATTAAAAATGACATCAAAAGTTACTTTAAATGGAAAACAGCGTTATCGACATGCAATTGCGAGGGTAAAACATTAATTTTGCTTATCTAATCGTATTTGCAACTGGAATCCGCGGAACTTTTCTTAACATCGAAACAGCGAGATTAATTGCCCAGCGAGAAGAAGTGCAAATATTTATCGACTCTCGAGGTTTCGACTTCAACAAATAAAACGCGAAAACTTCAGCCGTATACGTCTAATAAAAATACTTTTCGCCTGCCTCCGAAAGGTTTTCTAATTAAACTTTACCGACGTCATTTTATAAATTTCGGAAAATATCCCATAAAGACAGTTGAATTTGTCACGTTGCCAACTACTACATTTTCAGGAAATGAGGACTATTCGAGAACTAAACCTATAACGCCCAACTTAAATTGCAAACTCTTGATGAAGGAAACCTTATTACATTTTAGTTAAGAACTATAATGAAGACGTATTCTTTTTTAATCGAACAATTGCAAATTGCTGTAAGATTTGTTTGGTTATAGGAACCAGAAATATGGAAGGGTCAAAATGTTTGGTTTGAGAACTACGCTCCTAAACATTGGTGTTACTTCTTTTATTGTTTATCAGAAACCATAGCACATACGAGGATGGTTGCTGAGAAAAAAAATGGAGACTATCTTACAAACGTAACGCTTTGAATCCTTGGAAAAATGCTTCTTTGGCGATTTTTTTTTTGTATACTTATGAGAACACCCTGTATACGATGAGATGGTGAAATTTTCTCAACGATATACATCACATTTTATAGTTGCAAATTTGTTGCAACACGCCAAACGTTAATTTGCTGAAACAAATATTTGCGTGTTGTGTGAAACGAAGCAAAAGGGAAATGTAGTAATAGTAAACCGAATAGGCGCCACTAATCCTCAGTCAATTTCAAAAGAGAAAAGAGAATACTTACCGAAAGGGGGAAGCAAGCTAATCGATCCTTGTTCTGGTCTTGATATGGTAAAGAAAAAGAATAATCGACAGAGTAGGATATAAACAAAAATTGATGTCACAGTCGAGGGTAATTAATTAAATGATCTCAAAAATATCACAAATATTACAGTCTAGATCTGAAATGTCAATATTTAAATTTAAATCAATATTTAACAAAAAGGGGATCAGCACGTAGTCAAGGAAATTATTAACATCAAAACAGGCATCCGCAGAAAACAACGAAGCTATAATGGATAAATGACTATCAAGAAATGCAGTAATTACAGTTCGATTGTATCAAACGTTATACGTTATACGGCGGAAATTAAAAATATTTACCTTTGAACTTCAGGTTTGTAACAGCCTTGTGAGCTCAGAAGGGCGCTTTCTGCGTTATCTGTAACAGATAACAACAAAAACACACAAGAGGGATAGTGAATCGCGCGGCACAAAAGATTGCGGTATGGACACTCGGGTGAATCGTATACTAAAACCGTAATCAATACTAAATAAGAATCAATAATTCAATTTTCATTACCTAAACAAAAACAAATTTTTTGTTTGACCACGGATTTCCCGTACAAATCAGTGTATAAAAGCATAAACGTGACGTTCACTTCAAGAAATCTACTTTACGATGCACGAATGACTAAATTTGGCTGTGCAACAAAAACAGTAATAAACATAAAAACTTCGAAAGGAATGGTTAGTTTTAACTTGCGGAGAAAGCGTTCTGGGGGTAGTCAAAAATATCCGTTTACAAAAGAAAGATGTGCAACTTAAGCGGGCA